CAACCCTGACGCACTCCCTTCTTGATTTTAAACCATGTAGTGTCCCCTTGTTCCGTTTGAATGACAGCCTCCTGGTCAAGGTACAGATTCCTCATGAGTACAATTAAGTGTTCAGGAATTCCCATTCTTCTCAATGTTATCCATAATTTTTCATAAACTCAGAGGGTGGGGGAAAAATCCATCAAGTAAACAATAATCAAATGGAGCAGGAGTGGCAATATCAATCTCTGATAAAATAGAGTTTAAGGCAGAATCCATCATAAAAGATAAACCAAACCAGACCCACTGCCATGGACTCTGTTCTGACTCATAGTGAACCCCATCAGGTTTCCAAGGCTGGGGTCTTAAAAGCTTGCAAGCTGGCATCCAGATGCAATTGTTGGTCTCTCCCTGTCCAGAGCAGGGAGGAATGAAGAAAGTCAAAGATGCAAGGAGACAGTTCAAAGCACTAATGGACCATGCAAAGCTCAGCTTCTACTAGCCTGAGACCAGAAGGACCAGATGGTACCCGACTGCCACTACCAACCGTTGTGATCAGGATCATGGGACAGGGTCCTGGACAGAGTGGGAGAAAAATGTAGAACAAGATTCAAAATTACAAAAAAAGACTAGACCCATTTGTCTGCGGGAAACTGGTGGAACCCCCATGATTATGGCCCTTTGGACATCCTTCAGGCCTGAAGCTAAACCCACCCCTGAGGATCACCTTTCAGCCAAGCAGTAGACGGGTGTATAGAGTGAACAGTGACACCCCTGAGCGTTCTGCTGCTCAGAACAATTAACCATGCAGGACGGGGCGGGGCAGCATTTGCCCCAGAGCAGAGTTCAGAGGGCACAAGATGAGTGATGGAAACGGAACCCAGGGAGGAAATGGAAAGAATCCAGGGAGGAAATGGAAAGAATGCTGTCACACTGAGGGGACTGTAACCTGTGTCACAAAGCAAATTGTATGCATTGTTGAATGTGAAACTAATGTGTTCTGTAAACGTTGAGCCAAATCACAATTCAAAAAAACAAAAGTTCAGGATTGAGGTCAGGCCCACCAAGATCAGCTGGATCAGGCTCTGCCTGCCCCCGGGGTCCCGTGATAGAGCATCAGGGAGTGACGCGTCCCGGCTGCCTCACAGTGCTCGGGAGGAGGCTGGGTAATGTGGTGGCAACTCAGGGACCAGTCATGTTCAGAGAGAATCAGGACACATGATTGTGTACAGAAGGATCTCAGCCGTGTGTAAAAGGACAAGCAATGCCTCAAAAGATTTAACAGTGATTGTCTGTGGCTGGTGAGACAATGAGTGCTTTTTTCCCTTCTCTTTTCTGTAGTTTTCAAATCATCTCTAATGAGTATGTATAATCATCCTATGAGAAAAAATCAACTTTATTTTTAAACACAAAGAAACGAGAATAGACTGCAATGTGCCAGCATTTCTACGATGAGAACAGAGTGAAATGTACCACCGTTTCATGATGCTCTGATGATCATGGTGCATATTTTCAAAGCTGTTAGTTAAGAAGCGAAAATAATAGGAATAGCGTTCATCCCAAGGAGATTATTTCCGTTTAGTTTTCTATCTGCCTCTCCCCACCCCTCAACCCCGTCCCCCGCTCCCATGGTCACTTCTATACTCGGTGGCATGTGGCTGGGCCTTGAGCAGGAGGCATGCTGGGAGCACTGCCCCTCAGGGTGGGGGTCCTTAGGAGTCCCTGCTCTGCTCCAAGTGCTGTGCTGGGCACTGGAGACACAGGAATAAAGAAGGGTCACTCCCCTGCCCCAGTGGACCTCCAAAGCAAGATGTATCCTACAGTTAGTGCCTCAAAGAAGATAAGAAGCGGCTTCATGGAGGTGATGGGGCCTTAGCGAGGGTGACCGGGGAAGGTTTCTGTGAGGGTGCGATGTGGGAGCAACAACACAGAAGATGAGCGGTCATCCCGAGACAGAGGGCCTTGCCAGCTGGGTGAGGTGAGAGGACAGAGTGAGCGCACACATCATGCACGTGGCCAGGGAGACAGAGTACAGGAGGGAAGTCGCTGATGAGCCTGAGCAGCAGGTGGGGACGAGCCTATCAAGGCTGCTCTTGACATGATGGGAAGCCTCGGAGGGCTGCGTCTCAAGGCCACTGTGGCTGCTGTTTCCAGAATGAACTGGACGTGCTCGGATACGGAAGCAGAAGGACCAGTTAAGAGGCTGGGAAAGTGCAGAAGTTCGAGTTACCTGTGAACAGCTGGCACTTGGTGATGGGTTCGATGTGTGGGGCTTGCGAGCAAGGGATATCCAGGAAGGCTCCTGAATCTGGAACCCAAACAACTCGTTTCACAGGGACCGTTCCCTGGAGAAGGACGTCATGCTTGGTAAGGGGGAGGGTCAGCGAAAGAGGGGAAGGCCCTCAACAAGATGGATCGACACAGTGGCTACGGCAGTGGGCTCAAGTACAGCAAGGATCGTGGAGCTGGTGTGGGACCGGGCGGTGTTTCATTCTGCTGTGCGTGGGGTCTCTGTGAGTCGGAGATGACTCGGCAGCACCTAACAACAACAAAGTAGGTCAGCGAGGAAGGGGAGGAGCATCAACGAGATGGACCGACACAGTGGGTGCAGTGATGAGCTCGGGGACAGCAGGGATCGTGGGGACAGGGCCAGGGTTTTGTTCTGTGGTACACGGGTCGCTAAGAGTCGGAGCCAACTCAACGGCACCTGACAACAACAACGAACAAGTCATTAGATGGAGCAGAAGGTCTAGGAGGGCCCGTCCTACCTGAGGAACTTTGCTGTGTGGCCTTGGCCAGGCCCTGTTGTGGGTCATGGCTGGGATTCCCCAGGAGGTCAGTGCTGGGTGAGAGGGTCCATGCCCGGAAAAGGGGAAGACACGAGTTTGCTGGGGTCAAGGGTCACAGCTAAGGAGGTGCCAGACCTGTCTCTGCAGGGTTTGGGTTTCTGCCCCAACGTTAATCACGCTCCAAAGGTCTGGTCAGGGAGTGGTTTCTGGCAGAGTGCGAGCTTTCTTCACGTTGAGACCCTGGTTCTTCTCGAACGAGGCCAGACCATCGCAGCCCTGCCCGTTGTGACCTCCGAGCTTGCCTGATGTGCTGGCAAGTGGCCCTTAGGCTTTGAGGAATTAAAGAAAACTTAAGTTCCGTTGCTAGAAGGATCACATGTGTTGAAGCCATAAAGTGGAAACCAGCCGTGCCTGAAGCTGGAATCTGCTTGTGAACCTCGAGTTTGAAGTGAAGGTGTCCCAGAGATGGGGCTCATCCTCACTGCATTCAGACTTGGGTGCAGCCTGCCCCCCGCCCCAAGCAGTTTCTGAACCCAGTCCTGCCTCTGCCCAGTACGGCAACAAGTGCTGATGCCCACACGAGGCTTTAAAAGTCGGAAGCCAAGAACCCATGACTCTGTTTCTGTTCCTTCGAGTCCTCCTTTCCCTGAGGCAAAGATGTCAGAATGGCTTGCTGCCCCAAAGATGGTGAGGGGGCTGAAGGAAGGACGTAGTGTATAAGGACACACTCGGGAGACACTGACAACTGTGGTATGAAAATGCCAGCTTGTGCACGCTCTGGCCCGACGATGCCTGAGACAGCAGGGCCCGCCTGCTGAGCCCGGACATCCCAGCCTTGGAGGCCCTCCCATGCGTCAGCACAAAGGGACATGGCACAGACTTAGTGCCAAGCGGGTCAGACAGTGTGGTGGCTTTTGACCCTTCCACATGGCACCAGGGAGCAGGCTAGGTCCTTTCACCCCTTTACGCCCCCGGCAGCCCTGCAGAACGCCTTTCTACCACATGCGTGCTACCGCTGCATGGCTGCATGTTACTGCGTGCTATTTGGGGAAGCCCATGACTCATTGTTGATTTAATTAGGGCTTGTTTTCAAATGAGACCAAACACTCTTACCTCTAATTAGTTTTCATGGATTATCTGACTTTGCTCCTTTGATTGCTTGTGTAATTTATGTATTGTCCTTGTTTGTTGTATAAACTCTGTGTGGTACCCCCTCATTTAGCACAATGAGTTCAAGTTAACTAGTTGGTCGGCCTTATGGCCCTTGTTTAAGATGTGCTGGTTATGATCCCCCACCATCACTAAAGGTTAGAGAACCTTCCTCTCTGGCAATTCGATACTCAATGCCGTTTTCTTTAATTTGATTTTTTAAAAACTCTTTAGAAAAGTATAAGCTGATTTGTTTTTAAGTATAAAGCACTGACATCATGTTTTCCAAAAAGGAAAAAAATATGAAAAGCATTCAACATGCAGACAGACCTGACGATAAAATTTCTTGGTACTTGTATATTTTTTAAGTGGTTCTTAAATTCCTGGACAGTAAACTGTGATGTGATAATACTATTGCATAAGTGGTCCTTTACCCAGAGGTCAGTTTCTAGGCTGGTGTGTCCTGGCCCAAAGAGCTCTGGTGGCATAGTGGGTAAGGCATTTGGATGCTAACCAGAAGGTTGGTGGTTCAAACCAGTTGCTCTGTGGGAGAAAGATGAGTCAGTCTACTTCCCTAAAGATTTACAGTCTTGGAAACCCAGTGAGGGTCACTGAGTCAGAATGAGCTCGATGACACTGGGTTTGGTTTTTGGTTTGGTGTCCTGGCCTGGACTCTGACCTTCCACATCTACCCTGACACCTGCAGATCCCAGAACTGAAGCGAGACATCAGCATCCCCGATTACTGCTGCTTGGGTGACAGGGAGGAAGACGAGATCACCATTAACGCCTGGTTTGGTCCCCAGGGCACCGTCTCCCCACTGCATCAGGATCCCCAGCAAAACTTCCTCGTCCAGGTGGTCGCTGCCTCTCCCCCTGCCCCCAGCCTCGCTAGGGGCCTGGCCACACCAGGCTCTTAACAGACAATGAAAATGACAAAAGAGAGATGTGCCCAGCCCCATGGTGAGGCCCCCTCCCAGGTCAGGGGTGCTTCCGGTGCGGTTGCTCCTGGATCAGGGCCTGTCGTCCTCTGAGAGCCCAGAGGGGAGAGCCCTGACCACAGCCCTGACCACAGCAGGGAGAATGTCCATCCTGGCAGCCCAGCCTCTCCTCTGCCTTCACATTGCCACCCATTGGAACCAGGCCAGCATCTTCCTGCTGGAACTCTTCCTGGGACCCAGGGAGAATGTGTGTGTTGAGAGGGGCAGAGCATCTAACTACTGTTGTGGAACCACTTCAGTTTTCTTAGGCAGAGAGATTTAACAAATTAGAACATTCTTATAGCCAAGCTGCCCATTAAAAAGAGCCAATACAGTAGTGGCAGAGAGCTTGGTTCTCAGACTGTCACCTGTTGACTTTGTGAACTTGGAAAGTCGCTTGACCTCTCTGCCTCAGTTTCCTCATCTGTAAAATGGGTGTGGTGATAAACCCTTCATAGGATTGACCTGAGGACTAATTAACATACATAAAGCAGTTAAAACTGTGCTTGGCACAGTCAACTGCTTAACTGTTACCTACAATGATGAGGTTTTCATTGAATTGTCATATAGTTGGAGGAAAAGCACATGCTGTGAACTCTTAGCACACGTGGGGTGGGGCCCACGGACCAGTAGTGGGTGGTGCGGAGGGGTGGGGGGTGTCAGTCAGGGGACAGCATTGGGCGGCATGGAGGGGTAGGGGGGTGTCGGGACAGTAGTAGACAACACGGGGGGGTGTCAGGACAGCAGTGGATGGCATGGAGGGGTGGGGGTTGTCAGTCAGGGGACAGCAGTGGGTAGCACGGAGGGGTGGGGGGTGTCGGTCGGGACAGCAGTGGGCGGCGTGGAGGGGTAGGGGGTGTCGGGACAGTAGTGGACAACATGGGGGGGTGTCAGTCAGGGGACAGCAGTGGGCGGCACAGAGGGTGGGGGGTGTTGGTCAGGGGACAGAAGTGGACAGGACAGGGGTGGGGGTGTCAGGACAGCAGTGGGCGGTGTGGAGGGGTGGGGGTGCTAGGTGTAGGGGCTGCAGAGTTGGTCAGGGGACAGCTGTGGGCAGCAAGGCCATGCTCCACAGTGAACCCCCAGCTGACTGTTGGGTCTCTCTCTCCCCAGGTGATTGGGAGGAAATACATCCAGCTGTATTCACCAAAGGACTCAGAGGCTTTATACCCTCATGACTCACACCTTCTTCACAACACAAGCCAGGTAGGCCTTCAGAGCCCGCTGCGACATCACAGACCCCCCGCCCCCAGCCCAGTCGGCTTGAGGAGAATGGCCCGTTTTGTTCCTACAGGTTGATGTGGAGAACCCGGACTTGGAGAAGTTCCCCAGGTTTGCTGAGGCCGCGTCCCTGTCCTGCATCCTGTCTCCTGGAGAGATCCTGTTCATCCCGGTCAAGTACTGGCACTACGTGCGGGCTCTGGACTTGAGCTTCTCAGTCAGCTTCTGGTGGTCATAGCCCGGCCTGCAGCTGGGCCTGGGATCTGGAGACAAGCTGTCACTGCCCAGGGGAGGGGCATCGGGGTGTGAGGGGTGTCCTACCCACAAGGACTTACCACGCAGACCCAACAGCTGACACCGAGGCCCGGGCATCGGGAAGCGTGAAGCAGTGGGAAAGGGCAGCGTGTGCAGTGGCTTCATTTACTGGGTTCAAAACCCAGCTCCACCTGTTCACTGCTGCGTGATTTGGAGCAGGTCACGCTGCGGTGCCCGAGTGTCCCTCTGGCGAGTAGAGCAGTGCCAGTGCGCAGCACCGAGGGCTTGGTGAGGTGTGTGTGAGTCACCGCTGGCTGCTCCTGTCACAGGCCTCGGTGATTACGACCAGTCCGTACTTTGTTGTGGGGATGGCTGCAGCCTGCAGGCCCAGGGGAGAGGTGGTGTGGGCCTGGTCTCGGGGGAGGCCTGCCTGCACACTCAGGAGCTGGACCTCTGCTGGGGAGACTGCTGTCCTCACGTGAGGCCGTCTAGCTTGGATGTCCCGCTGAGCACACACCTGCATCACCTGCTCCCGAATCAGGAAGCACCCGTCCACAGCATGTAGAAGCCCACTCTTCCTCCGTCCCCTTCCAGTCACCTCCACCCAGGATGACTGCTCTCCGGGGTGGGTTTCAGGCAGGGGAGAGACCCAGGCTCTCAGTAAAGACAGATGGCTGCTTTTAAACCTGCTCAAAACCTTGGCTGGTTGTGTTTTCACCATTAAAACGTTTCCCCAGTCCTCTGACTAAAGACAGGCAGACATATCCCAACAGCTTGGACCAGGAAAGGCCCCCTGCTTATTGGGAGAATCACAAATGGGTGGACATTAATACAAATACTGTCTGGGTTTTGACAACATACATAACATGAGATCATAAGGTAAAATTCACTCCAAAGCAGTCATAAAAGAACTCATTTTAAAAGCTAGCAAACCTTAAAATTTTTTTAAAGTGCAACTTCACTAATACTCAAAGATAGGCAAAGTAAAGATGCTTGTTACTAAATTAGCAAAGATGTTTAACTGTTTCACATCAGTGTGGATGGCAAGCTGTCCTGTTGGTGGATTCAGCTTGACAGAATTGTTGCAGAAACCAGGACCCTTAAATATTGATGCTTACCTTTGGATCTAGTGATTCCCAATTCTAAGAATCCATCCGAAGGAAACAGAGGGTGGTCAAGGATGCACGCACAGCAGTGACCGTCACAGCATTATCTGTAACAGCAACTAGACATTCTCCGTCATGTCAGTAAGAAACAGCCAGCAAGACTGATTCCACCATCGAACACTGAAGATAGATAAGGGTGAATGGGAAATGGTTACTGTGTCATAAAGTACACTGCTCTGTGTTCTTAATTTTTAGATAGACATTCTTATATGTGTGTATGTATATGTATACATGTGTGCATGCATGAATGCGTGTGTGTGCATATCCCAAAGAAAATGCTCCAAATAAACTGTAGCTGTATCTGGGCCAGTCAGGAGATGATACAGGATTTGATTTTACCTCTATAATTTCATATTTTTTAATAATGTAAGAAACCAGGAAAAAATAAATGCAATTTATTTTGTAAATAACTTGTTCAACCACATATCACTGCTGCCTGTTCTGGGGCAGGGACATATGAGGCCCCAGGGAGAGCTAGGGAAAGATGGTGACCCTCGGTCCTCAGGGAGCGGTGGTGTTGAGGGGAGACAGACCCACAGGCAAGGATCGCAGACCTGGTGACTACTGTGGCGCTGGATGCCATGAGAAATGGGTCACGTGGAGGGAGGGAGGATGGGCTCAAGAAGTAGAGGCCAGAGTCGACTGGAAGGATGCAGAGGGTCTTCCAAGGAGACAGATGGGCCTCAAGACCGAGGTACCAGCACAGTGATGTCAGGACGGCTGGGGCCCAACGTGGGGCAAGGAAAGTGGTCCAAGATGAAATGAAAGGAGCAGCAAGATTCTGGACTGTGCAGACCCCTGACAGCCAGATGGGGGGGGGGTTTCCTTCAGTTTACGACAAACCCAGTTCAAATGAGTTTAAGCTGAAGGAAAGCAAACAAACGATGTGGATGTATTGTTCCCATTAGCAGGAAAGGACTCCGGGGGCATCCTGAGAACAGCTGGAAGAGCTGTGGGAGGAAGTCTGGGCTCGGGCCTCCACGGCCAGGCCTCTTCCCAGCCACCTCACCCCCACAGGTCTCCGCTGGCTGCCTTCTTCACCTTCTTGCAGACAGGCCTTCTCCATAGCGCAGCTCATACCCTCCAGCACCGTGACCCACGGGCACAGCTGCTTGTCCACCAGCTCCACATCAAGGAACCCCGGGGAGGACTGCTTAGTGCAGCCCAGGACATATGCCTGCCCCATGACCAGAAGCACAGGGGGGAGGGGGCACTGCTGGGCAGCAGAAACTAACCACAAATGCCCTCCATCACCGGGCCAGGAAATTAGGGTCTTACCCTATAGGCCTTGGGGGCCCCTGAGTTTTAAGCAGAGAGAACATCATAATGTGTGTTTATTTTTCATTTTTTAAAATTTGTATTTTTGTTAAAAATTTACACAGCAAAACATACCCCAGTTCTACAGTTTCTACACGTTCAAGTCAGTGTTGCTGATGACATCCTTCAAACTGCGTGCCCACACTCACCCTCCTTTTCCAAACCTTTCCTCCACCCTTAACATACTCTGCCCCCCCCCAAGCTTCCTAACCTTTCGAGTTGCTGTCGTCAATCTGATCCCATGTAGATTGTTGTTTAAAAGAGCCCAGTGCTCAAGACAGACATTCTTAACTAACTAAACTACAGTTTTCAGAAGACTCCAGGGGCTATTTTTGGTTTAAGGTTTAAAGATTCTCTCAGGCAAGTGCTGAGGGGTTCATCCAGCCTCCGTGGCTCCAGAAAGACTGGATTCCATGAGAGTTTGAAATTCTGTTCTGTACCCCCCCACCCCCCTTTGAGCAGGATTATTTATAAACTCTTTGATTAAAACATGCAGTAAGGGAGCGGGGCACCATCCAGTTTTGGTCTCATGGCAAAGGAGGCAGTTGTTCCTGGAGGCAACACAGTTGTTTCCTCCTCCTATTCCTGACTCTCCTACCTCTTGCTCCGGGCAAATAAAGACCAACTATTGTACCTTGGATAGCCACTTGCAAGCTTTTAAAACCCCAGGCACTGAACACAGAGGCAGAACAGAAGCACTAAAAATGGTATGTTCCATGAAACCATGACCCTAAACCTGTAAACCAGGAAACCAAATCCCATGAGGTGTTTGGTTATACATCAGCCACCTCAGCCAATAAAAATATGGATCACACAACATCAGGATGTGGGTTTTTCTAAAACTATTGGCTGCTAGCAAGGTGGGGGATGGGCAGGCCAGGAGACCTGCAAGGGACCCTAATCCAGGTGTGTGTGTGAATGAAGACGGGCAGCAGGTCTGAAGAGGCAAACGGAGCTGCCCAGTGAACTCAGCAGGACTCTGTGATTAGGTATTTGTGAGACTGTTTATTCCGCTGTATCTGGCATCACTAATCCCTACTTTTTTATATGAAGCATTTACACCAAATATCCACACCGCTGAAGGGAGGAGGAATGCCACCCTGCCCAGCATATTTGCCTTTACTCAAAAGAGTGGAGGAAGCTCCGTACAGAGGAGCCATACGTAACTTAAGAGAGCCACATGGGCAACTCACACCTCTGCCCCCACCCAAGACGGACTGTGTGGCTCTAGCTGCCATAGTGGCCCAGTCTTACAAGCCCATCTATCCCAGCTATCAGGTCCCACTTCTGCTCAAGATGCTGTTGAAGAATTATACTGTAATGCAGAGTGCCTCTAAAGCTAGGGACTAGAGGAAAAATTCATTAAAACACGATCTTGAGGTCTGGCTGCCTCAAGCAAATGTCCCTTGTCACATGAGACGAACACAGAAGATGACATCTCACATCCTGTCAAGGCTCCAATGTTGCCAGGAATCAACGGCTACAGGGCTGGCTCTAGCTCCATGAGGAATGTGGACTCTGGAGGTGGGCTTGGAATGAAAGCACCATGCAGCCAAGGGGAGGTAGCAAGTATGAAGACCCCAGCCAGGCACCCAGTCAGCCCAACAGGTATGGCGAGGGCCTGCTCAATGCCAAAAGGCCTGCACTGGGCACTGAATACATGGCATTGGGCCAGACATGGCCACTGCTCTTTTGGTATTTGATTTAATCTTGGAGGGAGATGGACAATAAAACAAGTGAATGCAAATAGTGAAAAGTGCTATGAAGATTAGAAAATGGGAGCAGGAGATGGATTGTTTGGGACAAGAAGCCGGAATGAGCAGGAGGCCCGTATTGGCCATGAGATTGGCGGGACGAGCTCCCAACGGTAGGTACTGAGGCCGTCAGGAAAGTCTTGGCGGAGTAAGGCTGGAGCAGAGGGAGCTGAGCAGGGAGGGGAGATGGAGAGACAGCAGGGTGGGGCATGAAGAGGCCAGGTCGCGCGGGCTTTAGCAGCAGTGGGAAGGGGTTCTGGATCTGGACCCAACGAGCAGAGGGAAGGTGGCACAGCGTGAGGCAGGGGGTGGTGTGATCTGGTTATGCCACTGTCAGGTTCCCACGGTTCAGACGCAGCTGAGTCCGAGCTGGTAACCAGCAAGCCCCAGCACTCTGCCTCTGAGGACACTGCTCTATGGCCACCTGTGACCAGTCTCCCCCACCCCCGTTCTTTCGCATAAATACCAACCCAGACTCCCTAAAGCATGCACCGTATCTCCTCACTCCCGGGCACTCCCCAGCTAAAATTCTGACATAGAATTCCCAACTCCTCAGTCTGACATTCAGGGCCTTTGTGGCCTGGCCCGTCTGTCACCTGCACAGCCCTACCTTTCACGGCTCTGCTCTCCGGTCACGGCCCTGCCTTTGTCAGTCCAAGAGTTCCTGACTGGATCAGTGCAACTCAGTGCCAGGCCCTTCTCCACACAGACAGAAACATGAGCGCCTGGGGGTGACACTAGGTCAAGCCTCTCCTGAAGCCAGGCCATCTCCAGCCCCATCATCTAGTCCCATCTCTGGCTTGTTGAAGCCAGTTTGAGTTGGGTTTTGTATCACTTACAGTGGAGGGGTCCTCTCTGGGGTGGGGGAGGAGAGCGAGAGGGCCAGAACTGTGCTCGTGTGGAAGACTGACGATGGAGGACGTGCAGGGAGACGGGGGACTGGGAGCTGGAGGGGGCAACCCACTAGTCAGGCAAAGGAAGAGGCAGGAAACGAGGGCAGGGTATCCAGGCAGAGAGACTAAGGTGTGCAAAGGTCCAGAAGGGAGAAACGGGCTGTTCCAGTTAGGATCTGAAAGAAACGGCGTACCACTGAGAAGTAGGGAAGAGAGGAGCAGAGATGAGCAGGGGCCTCAGCATCTGGGCCACAGGAGTCCTGTTAAGAGTTCAGCCCCCACCCCTTGTCTTCAATGGCGGGTGGCATGTTCAGACCTGCCTTGTGGGAAGATCACTCTGGGAAAGCAGACTGGAGGAGCCAGGACAGTGCTGCTGCAGAAGTGTAGGGGCTGGGGCCCTGGCCTGGGCAGGTGGGCTGGACAGCACTTGGTGACTGACTCGATGCAGGAGGGCCAGGAGGAAGAGGAAACTAGGCTACCTCTCCAGCCTTTGAAGAACAGTCGGATGGGCAGGGCTGCCACTCACAAGAGAGGAAGCAGAAGGGATCCTGGGAAGAAGAGCACAGGTCCAGCCACGTCTGCCAGACACATGCCCATTCAGGCCAGCTGGGCCTTGGGCTAGAGGAGGGACCAGATGCTAGGAAGGCCAAGGCCGGGGCTCACAAGTGCAGGCACAGGACCAGCCAGGTATCAATGGGATGACTGACGGAAGCTGGGGACTGAGGCAAAGTCACGTTGGCCAAGGATCGCGAGCTGCCCTGGACGGCAGTGGCTCAGGTTCTGTTGTGCAGAAGGAGTTCTGCTAATGTCACCTGCTCAGAACCAAACCCAGGGCTTCCAAGTTCTCATCTGCACTCCAGGAAAGAAGGAATGGCCGACACAAAACTTCATACAGAGAGTCACAGACCACAGACAGAGGTCACAGCAACTGCTTAGGATACTTTTATTCCAAACCTGTTAATACGTGAACATAAGAGTAAAAGAGCTGATTCACGTGGAAACGTGAAGACCTGACGACCTCCCTTCCAAGCAGGGCTGTGTCAGTCAACCCACAGCAGTGCCCGCTGCTAATGCTGCCGGGATCGCAAGGACTTTCTGTTCGCTTTGGAGACACCAGCAGCCTCCCTCTCCTTCTCAGGGTTGAAGACTTCTGCACACAGAAAAGCCCGGGAAGACGCTGTGCATGACAGGGCTGGCCGCACAGCGGCTCATGACCACAGTGACGTTCCTTGTGCCCCAGGACTCTACCACGTGGCATGTGTCACTGCTCAACCTTCTCCCTACCCACCGGCAAGGACAGCAGACTTAGCCCTCATCTACAGATCGACAAACTGAAGGAGCTGTGGACACTGCTTTCACTCCCCCCTCCTGAGGTGGCTGCCCCCGGGAGCCTTCCTAGACCAGCACCTCATAAGTCTTGTCATTTCTGCTGGGTCTAGAGGGCCCTCTGGAGAAGTGCAAGCAAGCAGGCCTAGAGGCTGCTTCAACTTAGGGGACTTGGGTCCTGTTGATGTGAAAACACACGTGCTGTGGAACCCTTCCTTTAAGGGCTACCTGGCTCCAAGTGCTTTCTCAGGGCCAGGGACCAGATGCCGGACACCAACCTGTGAGCTGCTCAGGACTACAAACCTGGTATCTCATGGGGCCAGTAGTCGTTACAGTGGGGGCAGCGTGGTTCGGAAACAGACTGGAAATACTTGGCCACACAAGGTAAATGCATCCTGATCCCGCAGGTTTCGCAGCTCTGACCCTGAAATGAGAAAGGCTGGCTGTGAGCCCTGCATACCCCTCTGTGTTTCATAGACTTTCTGGGAAGCTGCTAGAAAATTTCCAGAAAGTTATATAATTTTTATTTCCCACACCACAAATTAATAATGATAATAATCCCAGAGTCCTTAGTGTTGTATCAAAGAATTCTGAACAGTCAGTGCAGGCAGCCTTCTCAGAATGACAATCAGAAAGAACACAGAGTCAGGGCCAGAGCACGTGGCACCCACAGGCCAGCCCAACAGAGCAGCACAGCCAGCCCTGAGGCCGCCAGGCCCTGCACAGGCAGGCCCTGCACGCGCACAGCCTGCAGTGAGGGCAAACCAGAGCCGCTCTTCAGAAAGGCAACTAGCAATGTGGATCGAAGGCTTGGAAAAAGCATGTGCACCCTTCGCCCCAGAAATCCCACTTCCAGGAGCTCAGCTCAAGGAAATAAGCAACAGGAACCCAGGATGAATGTGCAAAGAGCCTTCTCACAAAGTCATTCACAGTAGCAAAAAAGCAAAACTTGAAAAGGAGACCTCAACGTCTAGCACCAGTCCAGTGGTCAAAGCCTCACAAAGGGATTGTATGCCATCTACAAGTGATGGCCTAGAGAAACACTCACACAGAGGGAAAACTCATACAGTTCACCATGTAACTGGTTACAAGAGACTTATGAGAGCCTTTCGGATGAAAAATAAAGCAACAGAGAACACTTGGACTAGAACAAGAGGAAGCAGGGAGGAGAAAAGGGTGCACTCGTGTGGGCAGCAGCCAGGTGTGGTGTCCCTCGATATCTCCAAGGAGATGCCCTCCATCTGCTCACTCAGAGGACATACTGGCCACGCGCTGGGCCAGGAGAACTGTGGACGGTCCTAGTGAGGAGCCCTGCCCGCCCGCCCGCCCACTGACACCGTACCTGGATGAGCAGGCCATGGCAGATGTTGCACATCTTCACAGCATCGGGGTATGTCTCCCGGATGTACTGCCCCATCTCCAGGATGGCCCGGCCGTGCAGGGTGAACTCCCCTTCTTTCTGCAGGGACAGCGATGGGAGACGGCACCTCAGACCACTGGCACCCCAGGCCCACTGCCACTCAGGGCTCTGTTCAGACTGTCCCCTACCCAAGGTCTGGACATCCCTTGCCTCTGGAGGTTTCCCCAGTCCCAGCCAAGAAGTGTCAGTCTCCCCTTGGCAGAGTCTCAGCTGGGCAGACTTGGGCCAAGGCCTAACAGGAAATGGAGCCAACAGCCTCCACACCTTCTCCACACCTGCTTGTGCCCTCACAGACCTGAAGCACTCAGTGTGCACAGCAGCCCAAGAGCAATGCAGCCCCGTCACCACCTTCTACAGACAGGAGGCCGAGGCTGGGAAAGGGCAGGCAGTCTTCCCAAGGCTCAAACCCAAGACATTCTCCCAGAGTGTGTGCTCCTTCCCCCACCCCAGTGTACCCCTTCCCACTCCCCAAAACAGCACATCAGATACTTCTGCAGCACTGATAAACCTTCCCACCTCACTTTACAGGTGACACTGGAAACTGAGTCCAGAGAAGGCAGGAGCAGCCCCAAATCACACACTGGGCTCAGGGCCTCCAATGGAAGCTGGGCCTCTAAGTCCCCACACGAGGGCCCAGTCCACACACCTGAAATCCCAGGGAAAGCCCAGAGCATGTAAACAATGTGGCTGCAAAGGTCGACTCTATCGCCAAGTTACAGGACACAGGCAGGGCTGAGGGAGACCCGGTACAATGTGGCTGCAATGGTCGACTCTATCGCCAGTTACAGGACACAGGCAGGGCTGAGGGAGACCCGGTACAGAGGGCAAAACCTCCAATGCAACGAGAGCCCATTTAAGTTCATTTTATGTTTCATCAAAGTTAACCTCACACCATACACAAAAACAAATTTAAAACAGATTAAGGACCTAAATGTGAAAACTGAAACCATGAAATTTTTAGAAGAAAATACAGGTTAATGCTGCCAGGCCAGCTTCTACAGCGATTATTTCATATAATAACAAAAGCACAGACAGCAAAGACAACATAAATAAATGGGACCTCATAAAAATGAAAAACTTTTGCTTAACAAAACACTTCACCAAAAAAGTGAAAAGACAAGCTGTAGAGTGGGAGAATACCTTCAGAAACTCTGTATCTGTTAAGAATCTACTAACCAAAATATCTATAAAACTTTGACAACAACAAAAAGACAAATAACCCAATCAGAAAATGGGCAAAGGACTTGAATAGACATTGACTAAAGAGGACATGACAAGATGCTCACCATCATCAGCCATCAGAGATTCAAATCAAAACCCCAGTGAGAGGAGGCGGAGCAAGATGGCACTAACCCACACAACAATGAATAACAAGCACAGACCAGGATCTCAGAACTCAGGACCGTGGCTGAGGTGTTGGAGAGTCAGAATTGAGTCAGACGCAGGGGAGAGGAGGTTCAGGGGTGGCACAGAAGCTGGGAGAACCTACCAACTAACATCAAGAGTATTCGCTCATCACAGCCATTTTGGGATAGGACTCGGCAACACCCCAAACAGGGAGCACAGGAAAGGGGCTAATGTGGGGAAGCTGTAGCCCAAGTTTTTCAGACGATGCAGATTGGCAGTGGGAGTTCGTGAGCCATGCAACTGAGAGGGGGCAAAGGGAGACCCTGACACTGTGACAGACTGCTGCTGAATCCCACGGAGGCCCGAGTTGGATGACACTGGGACTAGGAGGAACTGAAAGGGCACTACACCACCAGAGCTCCTCAGAAACAACCTAAGTGCCCATCAGTGGGTGAATGGATAAACAAACAATGGTACATATGCACAACGGACTACTATGCAACATTAAAGAAAAATGAAGAATCCACGAGACACCACCTAACATGAATGAAACTGGAGGATATTATGCTGAATGAAATAAGCCAATCACAAAAGGACAAGTACTGTATGAGTCCAATGTTATAAACAGTCAAGTGAGGTATTCTCCCACTCTACAGCTTGTCTTTTCACTTTTTGGTAAAGTGTTTTGATAAGAAAAAGTTTTTAATTTTCATGAGGTCCCATTTATTTATTTTGTCTTTTGCTGTTTGCTGTGTGGGGGGTCTTAAAAACTTGTTACATGCAGAAAGAAACATTCTTTGATGGTTACCAAGGATGGGAGAGGTAGGGAGGAGAGGGAAAATTACTAACTAGGTAAGAGACACTTATTAATCTGGGTGAAGGGGAAGGCAGTAAGTGGGTGACCAAAACACTAAGAAAAAGAAAGACAAGGAGAGGAGAGCAAAAGGTACAGACGACAAAGGTAAATACTATTACACATACACTCCTGAATTATCAGTTAACGACACCATTAATCTATGAGTGGATACATACACAGGTAGACAAGCAAGATGATGACATATGGATAGATCAATGGACTATATCTATGTGTACGTGCTATAAATATATCCATGTATTTAGTAGAGCTGAGCTCTGGTAGAGTAGTGCCTAAGGCATTTGACTGCTAACCAGAAGCCTAGCGGTTCAAACCCACCAGCCACTCCTCAGAAGGAAAGTTGAGCAATCTACTTCTGTAGTGATATCACCTCTGAAACCCAAGAAGGGGTTGCTATGAGTCGGCTCTGACTCCACGGCAGTGAGTTTGGTTTTGGTTTTGATAGTAGAGCTATCAGCGGGCAAAGTTATGAAAACTTCTTATCCATAACCAACACCTTGAGGGAATGAGTTGCGGGGCTGGGGACTCAGGACTACAGCCTTGGTAGACATCAAGGTCAACTGGTGTAGCACAGTCCACAAAGACTATGTTCTACAACTTACTTTGGTTAGTGACTGGGGTCTTAGAAGCTTGTGAACAGCCATCTAAGGTACAACTATTGGTCTCTCCTGCACTGGAGCAAAAACGAGTGAAGAAAATCATAGACACAAGGAAACAATTAGCCCAAGGGACCAGCAGACTACGCAAACCTCATCCTCCACTACTCTGAGACCAGAAGATCTAGATGGTGCCCAACTACTACTGCTGACTGCTCTGAAAGGGATCACAATGGGAGGTCCTGGATAGAGTGTGAGAAGAATGTGGAACACAACTCAAAGTCATAAAAAAAGACCAGGCTTACTGGCCTGACAGAGACTGATGGAGTCCCCAAGCTATGGCCTTTAGTGACCCTTCAAGCCTGGAACTGAACTCAACACTGTGGCTCAACCTTCAGCCAAACAGTAGACAGAACTACGGGTGAACAATAACATCAGACATATACATATTCCTTAGAACAATCAACCACATGAGAGAAAAAGAGCAGCATTTGCCCAGGGATCGAGCTCAGAAGGCAGGACAGGAAAGAAGGATGAACGGAAATGGTCACCACGGGGAGGAGGTGGGAATAATGCTGTTACGTTATATGGACCACATTCAATGTCACCAAACAAATTATGGATGAACAGTTGCATGGAAAACCAATTTGCTCTGTAAACTTTCACTCAAAGCACAAGACTGGAAAAAAAAAAAATTTGACAATAGCAACTCAAAAGATTAAATAGGGGAGGTGGGGCAAGATGGCGGACTAGGCAGAAGGATTGCACAGACCCTCTTCAACAAAGAAAAGGGAAACCAATAAATACAGACACAGAAGATAATCTTGGACCCCTGAGCCTTGAAG